CTGCTGTTTGATTGGCTTATGATCTTCTGTTTCAATTTCATGACAAATAATATTTGTTTGTCCTAACTCTTTAGACTGTCCTTCTTCTATGACATTTTTTGCAAATATATTAATATTATTCATCAAAAATTGACTAGCTTTATCATGCTGGGGTTGAGTAAGTTCAGTATTGACATTTAAATTAGTTTCCTCCTCAAGGTAGGCTAGTTCTTCAACTAATTCTATTAAGTAAAAAGCAGGTGTTTTTTCAATATCTAACCAGGGGTTATAATATAGATCATCTGCTGTAGGAGGCCATTCTTCTGAATAATAGGTTTCAGATTCACTTTCTTCTATTTCATCAATCCACTCATCATCATCATCAAATTCATTCTCGTTATAAATGAGACTGATATTAATACTACTGGTATGGGTAGCATTAACTGTTGCTTGTTTTCCTAAATATCGTACATTTAAGGTATTGTTTTCAAAATCTAGCTTGGCTTTAGATTTGTTAAACTAATATGTTCCTAGTAAGATTGTCTCATCCATCGATTCAATAACTTGTAGGTTGATAGAAATAACAATATCCTGGATGGTAATCTTTACATCTTCAATTGTTCTTAAGGCTTTGGCTCTGGTTCCATTTGCTGTTACTATGATAGTTCTAGAGGGTCCAGTAATTTGTAATCCAAGCTTCTTCATAAGCTTAGCAGTAACAATACTAACTGCGACTCCAGAATCTAAGATTGCTACAACTGGATTACTTTAATTCTAATGTGGCATCTCATAGCGGTAGTCTTTTTATCTCTTTCTGATTCTAAATAATTTGCTTCTGTAATGGGAGATTTCTTCTTTTGTAGAATCTTTGCAAGATTTTTACGTTAACTAGGTTGTTGCAATATCTGACCAAGAGTTGCAGAAGACTTCATGTTTAAGATATTATTTGCAATATCATAAGACTTGATTTGATCAATAACAGAGGGCTGAGATTTAAGTTTAATTTTCTGCTTGCTTTCTTTAGACTGAAAAGTAACCTCTGGAGGGATTTCATCTATAATAATGTCTGGTTCCTTCTAAATTGGGTTGATTATAGTACGATTTCTTAAGTTTATCTCCTTTTATGACTTTGAATTTTTAGTAACTTCTTTGGCTTTCTTTCTATCAGTAGAGTAAGGTTTTGATCTGGGAGTTTTGGTAATATAGACTTCTTCAACTTCACTATCTTCTGCTTCAAGATAATTAATAGTTCTTTGTTTTATATCTCTAGCCAATTGTTTATACTGAGCAGTCGTAGTGTTTCTTTCAGCTAGACAATTTCTAGCTATATGACCAGCTTCACCACATTTGTAACAGATAACTGATGACTTGGGTCTGGGTTGGGTTCTAAAATTCTGGTTGTTTTGGCTAGAATTTTCTTTAGGAGTAAGTGCTGATGCAATAGTAGCATAGTTAATAGTCATTTGCTGCATTTGCTTGGTTAAAGTTTCAATATCTTTTTCTAAATTTCTGGTATTAGATGAGGTAGCAGGTTCTGCTTTGAAAGCAAAATCTTTTCCATGCTCAAAAGTTCTAGCATGTTCAAATGCAGCTGCTACGTCATTAGGAGCATGTAATAAAATAATCGGGAGAGTTTCTGGTAATAGTCCCTTATTAAAATGGTACAATTTCTGATTATTAGTTAGGTTATTATTAGTTTATACTCGTTGAATAACTCTACATTATCTGCTGTAGTAAGTATCAATTGATTTATCTGGTATTTGTTTTAGTTCTTCTAACTCCTTGATCTACTTGTTATGCCATCTCTGATTACAGAATTGAGCAGTAAACCTATTTTTAACAGTATTCCAATCATTGTCAGCATTATTGGTAGCAGCATTAGCTGGGTAAAATGTTTGTTGCCATTCATCAGCGCTATCTCTTAAAAAGGCTAGCAGGACATCTCTTTTTCTTCTATTGTTCCACTTATTAGCAACAGCTGCCTTTTCAAAATCAGCCATCCAGGTTAAAGGGTCCTGGGTACCATTACCATAGAAAGATGCAATCTGGAGAAGGGTAGGTCCCTTGTCATTGTTAATAAGATAATCATATACATTCTGTATAGTTGCCATATTTAATTTAGGACTAGGAGGAGGAGTTTGAAATAGTAAGTCTAAA